TAGTTGCTGGCTGGGGTTAAACCACGGCATACTGAATACCATTTATATCTGAATACCTGACTGGTACACCCAGTCCAGACAGAGCACTATTCGCCAACATTTGGCAGTTTGTAACAACACAGAGAATTAACTGCTGAAGCAAACTGTGAGTCTGAGTTTCAAACTAGACTCATACCAGCGAAACATGCCTGCTGTCTAACAGGCATGCTAGAAGTCTGTCTGAGGCAAGCATTTCAGCCTGTTTTCAGGATTTCCTGTTCCCTTTGTTTGACCTTTAGTTAAAGGTGCACCTCTACTTGGCAACATATATTAGCAGATCCCTTGGGTAGTCACAACAGCATTCGTTGGGGTTCGTTCACGGCAGGCGCAGCCTTCTACATCTATGACAACTTCAACTTCATTCAGTTGCTGCCATATGGTCCAAGCTAATGCAGGAGTGATCTTTCCCTGCTAACCCCCTGCAGAAAATCAGATACACCATCAATGTGCGGCATTTCATTGTGGACAGGGAGTGTAGAGGCAAAGGAAAGCCAAGTGATTGGTATAGACAATGGCTTTGTCTCCCTAATAGGCCAGAGATACCACTGCATACCACAAGGAGTGGATAAAGAAAGGGCAAAGAAAGGCAGCTTGAAATGTGAGAGTAGATGGAAATTCTCTCTCCTTCGCACACTGACCTCTTGTTGCCTGCTTGCTTGCTTTCTGCCCTAAAAGAAACTGGGCTGAAAAAAATAGCAGATGGGGAGCCTTCTCATTCCTTGATAATTGGCCTTTTCAGACACAGAGATTAAACCCTGCAGCCACAAGACCATCAGTTCTGCTTGTATTTTTTCCTTGCACTTTTATTGTGTTTCTCCCTAGATTTTAAATATAGTTTAACTAACAATCATGTCAGCAAATTAAACCATTGAGTCTTGGTAATTATTGCAATAAATTCATTCAAAATTAGCGATTACTGCAATCAAAGACCAGTTTCTTAGCCCATTAACAGCCCAAAGCAAAGTGACAATCTGGTTAACTGCTGGTAACAACCTATTTCATGAAGGTTATTGTTAACATAAACGCTTTGGAATAAATCTGAGGGAGGTAACATTGCTAAATAAACTATCAGCTTAATTCCTGAGAAAACTCATAGGATTAAGTGGGCAATAGGGAAAAAAAAAAAAGAGAAAAAAAAAAAAAAAAAAGCAAAAAACAAACCAGACAGAATTATAACTGTATTGTTGGGGATTTTTTGAGTTATGTAGAAAAAAAAATATCCTCAAGCGCATTTTCCTTTGTGGTTAAGTCTTCCCACCCACAGAATGACCTGTGTGCCAGAGCTGAGTTGCTGCACCTGTATCTTGGTTTGCCCCATCTTATGTTTGAGCCTAAAGATGACGTGAACTGGTGAAGTTTTAAGTAGTGAAGTTTTAACCATGGTACCTGCAGCCTTCTTAATTTTTTCTTGTACTACCCTTAATCCCTCCACCTTCATGTAGCAGCTGAGGAATGTTGCTTCAATTTCTTTATATGTGCCTGAAATTTCCCCATGCAGTGGTAGACTCTGTCCAAGTGACAGTCCTGCATTAGCCCACACACCTCCATGCACCGAGGCACAGAGAACCATTTTGCTCTGCATTCCCACCTGTGAAAGCACGTTCAGGGTTCTCTGTGTAGGACACTTCTTTGGGAGGCAGAGGGTTTGGATTCTGCACCTGGGTATTTTGTTAACTGTGTCCGCTTTACCTCTGTACAATCCAGTAACACGTGCACACTTTTCTTGGGACACTGTTTACCCTTCTTTGAAAAACTTTCCTCTGGAAAAAGTTCAGCATATTATTGTACTATAGCTATGGTAACTTGTCTGAGTTCCAAAATGCCCTTTGGGGGTAAGAAAGCTAACAGCTGGGGCTTTGAGTGAGAATTTTTTTTGGAGGACATGTTGCAGGACCTCATGTGCATAAAATCAGTCTCCTTGAAGAACTGCCAGTCTCTTCCAACCTAGCTGCTTTCCTTTGATCTTCTTCAGGCCCATGTGTTTTCTGAGCAGGACAGCATCCATACCAGTCCTACTGTAAGGCAATATGAATTCTGTGCTCATTTTATTTCTTCAGTCTGAAGATATTTAATATCAGAGAGTTTCAAATAAGGTATTTTTAACTCTGCTTCAGTCAAATTTAAATAGCTTTGATTAGAAGAACTATAAAACATGAAACTTGGGGGGTTTGTTTGATTTCACTCTGTGATTTCACAGACAGGCTGAAATATTTTTGTATTACCAAAGGTCCAGAGTAGGGGAATGACCAAAGCAGGTGTAGATATTTATACTGTTGGTGAAACTGCAAAAGAGACCAGACTGGAATGAGAGAGAGTTCCAGAATGAGAAGTAAGGAGACTTGGTTTGCCTTCTTCTCTTTGCCTGGTTAGTTTAAGGCAAAGGAGATCTATAATTCCTGACACTGACTGAAAGTGACTGGGAACAAAACATAAATTCTTGTTGACTTAATTTGTTATTGAAATTTTAGTCAATAATCATGAAAAGTAAATGATCATGTAGTGCAATATTAGATGTCTAACAAAAGATTAAAATTCAGGTTATCTTCATTGACTGAGCTAGGACAGTACCTAAAATAAAAATCTATGAGTAGATTAACATGTTAAACAGTCAGTGAGGTGTTTGGTTATTTTTTTTCTTTTTTGATGGATTTGAGGGGAGAAAGCTCTAGCAGGTTTTTTTGTTTCTACTGTGTATCACAGCTGCCATTTCTAGCCAGCTAACAATTTCTGTACATAAAACAGACAATAGATTATCATATTACTTGAGCTTTCATGTCAAAACCACATTCATTTTCTGAATCACGTTCAATTCATCAACCAGTATTTGCTCAAGGGCTTTTGCCAGCTACAATGTATCATTTTAATATAGTGTTGAACATTGGTTTTATTCTAGAGGTCAAATAATTATTATCTTGTTATTGTTATGGTTATCATTTTGTAGTTGTTATAAATTATATTTTGGTTCACATGCCATGTGCTATTTCTTTCATTTTTTTGCAAAGGTTGCTTATGTGGGCCCTAATCCACCTCTTAAAAAGATGCTTAATGTTAAACACATAAATAGTCATACTTGATGTCAAAGGAACTAAGCCTATGCATAAAACTTTCCAGCACTTTGCTGAGTCAGAACCTCTATGACCTCTCAAATGAAGACTGACTCAAATTAGCATTTAAATTGGGTGCAATTTGTACTAATGCACTGGAAGTTGTCCTCCAAAGCAGGAGGTTTTTGCAGCCATCAAAAAGGCAGAGGTAGCTCTTCTGTTTTCACTGCCTGTCCCCTTTTGACTTAGCTCCTAGGACATGGGGCCTGCAGGACATATTTGAGAGTAAAGCTGGCTTCTCAGTAAATAAAATCTAGAGGTTTGTGCTATGGAGGGTTAACCAAGGTTCTTGAAATGTAACTGGTTCTTATCTGTGTCCCAGGAGCAGCAGTAGCTCAGTGAAGAAGGTGGCAAAGAAAAGAGAAGAGAAACTGTTCCCTCCTCCATTATCCCCACTCTTGGACGAGCCTGTGCACCGGCGGCACAGCAGTGACAACAGCTCCTTCAGCCAAGAGACCAACATCACAAACACCTCTCAGACCTGCACCTCTTCCTCCTCTGTTTCTAAACACAGAAAGAATGAAAATAAATCCTCTTCTAACCCCAAAGGAATCTCTGTAAGTAACCGACCTCAGTTGCTGGAAGTGAACAAGATAAAATAAAATTAACTTAGCTTTGTTCTGTTTGAATTTTTTTTCTCAATATCTATTTTTAAATGCTTATGCAGACCTACTCAAGAGCAGTGAGGAGTGGATCTTTGCAGAGCTGAACATAAGCGACTCTTGCAAGTTCCATTTTTAGGTCAGCATTAGGCATCTACTTGGCATTGTGTATCACTCCCTGAACCCCCCGGTCCCTGAGCCTCAGAGGAGAGCCTTTGCAGCCAGCAACTAGCAATGCAATTAATCCCTTAATTCTGTAGCTACAGCACACACATTTTGAAAATAAAACTTCAAGAGTTTTGGTAGCCATCACCTGAATAATTGCCCCAAATTCTCATCAAGAATTAAGCACTGTAGTTATACTGAATATTGCAGCCTAAACTAACAGACAAAGAAAATCTAACAAAAACCTACCTGTCCATAGCACACTCAACATGGAAATATCTTCTCTCAGGTTTGCAGGCTCCTAGCTTCCAGCAGGAAGGTTTATTTGCACCTACCTCCATGAATTACATACATAAGCTTTTAGATACTGTGTAAATATTTTTTTCCAAGAAAACCCATCATTCTATTAGGGCCACCTCCTTATCAAAGGTTTTCACGGACAACTCTTGCTTGCTTGCTTTTCACCAAATTCAGATGCTTTTTACTGAAAATTCATGAAAAGGAGCCAAAATTAGAAGCTGCATAGCAAGTTCACTAAAAAAAAAAGTAAAAATTCACATCAGTTCATCATCCTCTTTTAGGGGAAACTTCAGAGTTTTGGCCCATTTTAGAAAATAGTCCTCCCTCTAGAGTTTCAAATATATCATTTAGTATCAAACTGGATGTCAGTATCACTGTCAAAATTAAAAGACAAGAAGAAAATTCTGCCACAGAAAAGGATGTGCATAGCCCCATTTTTCACAGTTCGCAGCTTTGTGAGAGGTTGTTACCCTGCACTATAATAGTAAAACTCACAAGTTGCATTGGATTGTAGGTGACAAATCACTTCACCTTATTCATTCATCCCTGTTGCTTTCTGATAATCATTGTGTCACTTCAAGCTGCGAGAGTAATACACACACCTTCAACTGAAATCAATGCCAAAATGAACTGCGTATGTCAGCAAATAAACAATGCTATGTAAACAGCAGGGCCAGTTCCTCTCAGTCCCAGCATCGCTAGTCAGATTTATCCTTGGTTTATCTATTATCCTGATACATGAAATATTTGTCTTCTAAAACATGTTAGAGTTCTTTACATTGGTTCATCTGTTATTTAGTTTATCTGGTTGCAGACCGAGCTTTCAAGTTGTAATTGCCTGATTTAAATGCTTCTGTTATGCTTCTGGTTTTAATCCATGCAAAGTCATGACTCCTGACTTCTGCTTTCCATTCTTCTCTCCATTCTGTGTAGCAAGGGTGAGGAAACTATTCCTTGCTGAAATCCGAGCAAACTTTTCAGACACCATACATTTAGCTAATAATAATATAGAAAGAAAGATTACATTAGTGATACACCTTGAATAAGTTGAGTTTACATCCAGCCCTTCTGCATTAGATTTCCCCAGCCCTGCTTTAACCAGTGTCTTTAGTCAGTACCACTGTGGTGTCCAAGCTGACTTCACCTAAGAGTGCACGTTAATAAGTTCAGGTGAGGGGTCAGAGGTAGAGTCATAGTGCCTAATTAATCTAATAGGCTTATGTTATAAAGGATTGAACGGTGATTTTGTGAGGTAACCTGGATGTAGTTGGGTATATATGACTGCTACTTTGTGCCTTAGCGTTTTGTTTGTTTGGGTGGGTTCTTGGGGGGGGGGGGCGATGTGAGCACTTACATTGCTGGAAGGTGTTTGAACTATGAAGAGTTAGTAACAGTCCTTTTTTTCTAGGAGGAAGAATCTCACAATACACCAACAGCCAACACTCTTCTTGATACCAGCCATCTAGAAACAGACATCTGGTCTGCAATGCCAACGCTTTCCAATGGGAATTCTGAGCCCAGAAGACCCAAAATAACATTTGATGATGTGTAAGTATTATTGGATCTCTGTACTAGCTGCATGTTATGTAGTTGGGATTTTCATGCAAGCAGAGCTCCCAGTGAAAGAGAGTATCTTTGATTATAATGCTAGCATTGGGCACCTGTGTGGATAGTGCTGCACAAAGGCACACACAGTTTTAATCTTTACAAATGAACTGTTGTCACTGATTAATGAAGACTCTGTTGATAAATGTTTTCAGATCATAAATGTTGGTTCACAGTAATTCTTCTTTGTTGTTTTATTTTAGCTCCTCTAATGGAAACTTCTTATACTTAATTAGTTTAAAATATTTTTCCTTTTCCTCTGTTCAGCACATATTAATGGGTCCTTTGGGTGGCCAGTTTCTACAGCTAGTTATTTTACATTCTGGTCACCCATCATATCTTTGCATACAGCAGCTTCAGATTAATATCAGGTTAAGATTTAAAGAGATAAGTGGGCGTGTATGTCAAAATTGTTCTTGGAAGCAGTCAGCGATTTTCTCAAACAGTGTTTGTCCAACTGTATGAAAACAAAGACTTGAAATAATTGATTTTGTCTCTTCAGGCTTCACAATGCGGATTATTACATGCAAGAGGCTAAGAAGCTAAAGCATAAAGCAGATGCATTGGTAGGTTATCACGGGGGGTTTTGTCTCTTTCCAGTATGGAGCTGAGTGTTACAAAAACGTACATTCTGAATGTTATCTAAAGCCTCAGAAACCAAGAGGAACCCTGCTATTGACTAAAGTATGCTTCAGATTTTACTCCATAAACACACTGTCCACAACAAGTCAAACCCTGAGCGTCATTCCTAGCCTTTAACAATTCGGTCCCAAAAAAAGAAACTCCTTACAGTATCTGGTATCTGTTCCAAGGAGGAGCAACAATCATGCTGTTTATGAAGGATGTAAGATAATTTCATGAAAGAAGAAGTGTGTTTGAAATTTGTTTTCCTATTCACTTTGAGCCTAAAATAAAAGTGTTGAAATATTCCATAACAGAAAGTTGAGAAAGGCAGATCACCCTCCACTCCATTATCATGTGGTAAAACTGTTTGATATTTCCAATCCAATTGTTTAAAATTTGCAACAGTTGATTTTTAAATAGTACATTCATTTTTATTGCGTGCTTTTAGGCTGATAAATAAAGACTCAGTGCATTTCTTCCCCAAAAATCCTGCAGTGAGGTAGTTCAATGCTGGGAAAGCTTTTTCTCTCATTTTGCCCCAGATGAAATTCCAGTAAGGTTGACCTAATTTTGCAAAGTGTTTTGATTTTGATAAAACTAGTTAATCTGACAGATTATCGTATTTGTTCAATCCAAGCTATTGCTAGCATTGGAGTGCCTTTAATAGCCATTTGCTTTGTAGGTAGGGACTTTGCTCCTGTATGCTACACAGAGTGCAGAACAGCAGCTCATTTAGGCAGGCTTCGTGGAACTTGACTCCTCTATTTATTTAAACTAAGATGTCCAAAATGGAGTGTGGCCATTCACTTTACCCCTCAAAATCACAACTGGGAAAGGATCATTCACCTCTCTTTTTAATATTTGTGGGTTTTTTGCATGCATATTATATCATTCCACATCAGAGATTTTGTGCTTGGAACTAAGTATTTGTCCAAAAAAAAAAAAAAACCCAAAATAATCACATGCTATGTTTTTAAAAAATGAAACAAAAAAACTCCAAAACCCTCTCCCTCTGCTGTAGGTGAGCTGAAGGAGAATTGCCATGTCGAGCTGCCTGCTTCAGCTCTCTGGGCTCCCTTGTGACTTGGGGCACAGTGTTACCAAGTGTGTTTTCTGTGGGATATGGTTTTGGCTTTTTGGCAACCTGCCGTGATTGTCAGTAAGTTAGCAGTCATCCCTCCCAACCTGCCCATTTACAAGAGGTGGCCTGCACCAATCTCACAGCCCGACTCAGCAGAACATGTTCCGCCAGAGCCCTGACATCTACACGCAGGAAAGGCTGGCAGAAGCAGATTGACAGCACCTCCCACAGCTGATTGACCTTTAAAGAAAATACACATCGTTCTGGCACAGGGATGCCTACTCCATGCTAGCAAATATTTACAGGCTCAGGCTCCTGATGATCTCAACATGCTATGTCAATCCATTCTCTCCGCAGCCTGATTCACTCAGAAAGTGTTGACCTGTCTCCCATCCTCTTACCTTTAACTATGCCTTGTGGAATCAGGGGTGTTTCTCAAGCAGAACTAAGAGGAGCAGGCACAGCACATCATGCTGCTGCCTCCAGGCAGGCTTTACCTGTTGCATGCAGTTTGACACCCCAAGTGCTCTTATGGGAATGTGAGGCCATCCGCTACGATACAACTTGTTGGCAGACATAAATACCCATGAAAAAAGGATCTGCTTTTTCTTTCTGCTATTTAGGTCTCAACTTTTTTTTTCCACCCAATACAGCTGCACACAAATTATCTCATGTAACACATTTGCTGTGTGATCCCGTAGTGTTAGTTGTACTATGGAAACAATTGCTTCTGGTTACTTGGTGCTGACATGACAAAGCACACACAGCATTGAAAGATGTGTTGCAGTGGCTAGAAAGATAATGCATGTGACCTCAAAATGTGTCAGCAAATGTTAATAAGATTTGTAGCAATGCTGTTCCTGAGCTTGTATGGAAAACAGATTCCTGGTGAAGGGCAGGGCATTTTGCATCTTATGGGAGTGACCCCATGAAAACCTATCCTTGTCTGGGACAGCAGTAAGGAATCAACTAATTTGGATGGGCTGCTGCAGTGGCAACTGACTGTAACCATATGGAAGAGATCTTGGGAGACCTTGCTGTGTTCTCAGCTGAGCAGTGATGAGCTGGAGTAATTCCACCTACTCCACTAGAGTCAGCGTGGAGCAAAGGGCAGGATCGGATCCCATTTCTGGCTCAAACTGTGTGTCTGTACTAAATCTGCTTGCAGCCAGATTCCTTTTTTTTTATACCACAGAAAGTCATCTTTGGAAGACTTGAAGCAAGGAATTTGAAGAATATGTTGAGAAGTGGCCATTGGAATAGAGAGAAAACATTTAGGAATATTTTCTGTGATTATTCAAGTAATACCTATCAATTATACAAAGGCTTTGTATATATATTCAAGTAATACCTATCAATTATACAAAGGCTTTGTACATAATCAATGCCCAAGAGCAGAACTTGAAATGAAAGGTAGGCAGAGGGAACTAGTTACAAGGATTGCTTAGAAGTAGCCAGAAAGGCAAATATACCGTTACCTTGGACCAATACTACATGTTCTGCTTAATGTGTTGCTAGGATAGGCTTCCATTTTGTGAATGGAAAACATATGCAGGTGCATCAAAAATATTTTGATAGAGAAATACAAAGAAATTTTTAAATTATTTAAAGTATATTGGATCTCTTATATCAAATGCCACATTAGTAGAATTCTTACATCCAGCTATCAAAAATTGAAAATGTTAAATACCATTATAAAATACTTACTATAAAAATGTCATATATAATATTCATTACACATAAAAAAAGAAATCAGTATGTCTAAGTCAGTTTAATCACAACCATTATGAGGGCTAAAACCTTTTGCAATAAAATCCTAGTAAAATAAAATATTTAGCAGTGCTATATTTTCTCTTTCTGCTCTTTCAGTCATCACATAAGTGATGAGATTTTTTTTTTGGTCAACAGTTAACACAGAAGGTGATGTCCAACAAATGGCGTAGAGTTGTTACTTAACCCTTGCATAGTGACTTTCAAACTTAGTTCATATACCAAGAAGCAATAAGGATTTGTTCAAACATGCTTTGCGTCCCTTATTGCCTGTGTAAATCCATGCATGTCAATGGAGCATCTGGCCATAGAGCACCTGAAAAGATTTGGTGAAAACATAGATTGTGCCTTAATTACTGTATGAATTCATTCTTAACTACCAGCGTCGCTTTGCTTTCATCCTAATGCTAGTGTTGCTTTGTATTATGATGTGTCTACCTAGAAATTAAAGCTGAAGGATTTTCTTGACAGTGTCATTCTTATTTCAGCTGGAGAAGTTTGGCAAAGCAGTGAATTATGCTGATGCTGCGCTCTCCTTCATCGAGTGTGGGAACGCTATGGAGCGAGATCCATTAGAAGCTAAATCTCCATACACCATGTACTCAGAGACTGTGGAACTCATCAGGTTAATGTCCTTTCTGTGATCATTTTCATCATCTCATTTCAGTCGTAATTAGAACCTGCTATGTTTTAAAAAATACCATTTTGACGTATTAATGATTTGTCCAAGGCATCTTCATCTCAGAAGTCATCATAATTAGTTCTTGCCATTTTATTAATGTCATGGAAAATTTATAATTGATGGACACTGCTTTTATAAATTATCCCCTTTAGAGGTTATAATGTGAGTGTTATAATTTGCAATATTCATAAAATTAAAATTGAAATGTAGTGGGTGGAAGTAAAGTATAGTAATTTCACTGTTTGGCAATGACACTTGTCTTTTAAAAGGTGTAGTTTTATAATTCAAAACATTAAAGTGAGTCTATCTGGATTTCTATTACAAACCCTATTTTTAGAGGTTTATAACTTGGCTGTTAAAAAAAGAAAAAAAAAGCTGAAACTTGGCACATAAGATCATAGCCAAAGAGGAAGCTTTCCGCATGTATTGTATTATAAAAGTATATTTTTTAATGTTAAAGGAATGTGAACCAGCTGAATTAGTTTTAGTTCAGTTTTATAGACTCATAGGCTAGAATATGGATGAGAGCACCTTTACTTACTAATAAAATGTCTGAATTATTATTTTAAAATCTGCTACTGTTCCCTATAGCTGTTTCATAGTGCTGGCTCCGTAGAAATAATGGTCTCCTGAGTAACTAAGGGCTTGTTTGCTTTACTTGCGCAAATTATCAAGGTGAAATCAAGCAGGATTAAATTTACCTGTAAGTAGAACAACAGGATTTTTCCTCTTCACTGTGATGCACCTTTGCTTTCCCCAGTGTATGCTGGGAATATCACCATTAATGTTAGTGTAATTACTGGCAGTTTACACAGGAGAAGGAAAAGGAGGCAAATCAGGCCCTAAATGTTTGGGTTTTAATATGACAAAGGTGGGTTTTTAGCATGCAGGATTTTAAATTGCCAAATTAGCTATTAGGGACTGCCAAAAATAATGCATGTTTTACATTTTGAATAAGTAGGTATTTACATAATAAAACGTATCAAACCTTAAGAAGCTCTTACTCTCGGGTAAATAATATTCCTGTTAAACATTTAAAAACATATTTTTACACTCTGTACTTCTTAAAGAGAAGAAGAAAATCTAAAGAGATTACTCAACAAAAAAATGATGTTCACTCAACACTTGCGATCCAAGTTAAATCCTCAAGAGCAGAGGACTTAAGAAAAGGAGCCGTCTACCTCTGCTCTACTGTGCTGAAACTCTTCCTGCATTCTGACAGTGGACAGTTCAGTACTTTGTGTCCTGAACTACACAAGTACAGTTGTATGGCAGGATAAATTGTATTTAAAGAAATACTGTTTAAAGAAGTGAGTGCTTCTTCATAGGAGCCGGCATTTACTTTAATTTTTTAAGAAAACCACATAGCACAGTTGAAAATGTTGTTCCTTAGTCCAGCAGTCTGTCTGTTCAGAAGCAGATGGACCAAAAATCTTCATTCATCCAAGAGCCACAACACGCGCACCACTTATCTCAGAGAATGGAAGCTCTAGGAGTAGCTCACAAATGGATACTACCTGCAGCTCCCCTTCACCCTGCAGTGCTGGTGCTGGATGGAGTCGGCTGTGCGTATGGCTACATCTTGGGGCAACTGGCACTCATCAGCAGACACAGCCCCACTGCCTTGCTCTTCCCGGCAGCTCCTATATCAGCACAGTCCTGCTGCAGGCTAAGTGATAGATAGATCTTGTCATGGAAGCAGCACCTGAACTGCTTTTGAATTGCTTTTTGAACTGCTTTTGACTATGGAAGAATCTGGAGGACTTTGTAACAGTAGATCTCCAATTTCTAAATAGCTAAATTTGGGTGAGATTACTTCCACCACCTGCCATCAAAGGTAGAGCTTAATTTACCAGCTCCTGTAGGTAGCATCTTGTAGGCAGCCAGTGAGAGACTGATTTGCCCATTTAATTGCTGTCAGTCTTCGGACGTGGGAAAAAATTGCCCAGGTGAGCGGCAGACTGTTAGAGGTTCAGTGAACTCCATGGACAAATACACAATCCTTGTGCGCTACAGTGGGTGCTAAATGTACAAACCAAGGATGCTTATGTGCACACACACTTTCACAATGTGACTCCTAATCTTAACAGAGAGTTTTACTGTGAGATGAGCAGAAGGAGATTTTTCTTTCTTTTACTCCTCCCTTCATCAGAGGCACCATTTCCCCCTTTTGCACTAGCTGTGTCTGCCCTCAGTATCTGCATCACACACCTATTTGTAAAAGCAAGTGGAGCATCAAAGAGATTGGGAGTACCGGAGATCTGACTGTCAAAGGTGTTTTAAGTTAATGGTAATGCTAAAATCCCTAATGTAACACTGAAAATTCCAAAGAAACATCCATCTTCATGTTTGATCAGATTCATTCAGTATGACTGGAACAACAATAGCAAAGAGCGGGTGAGATAGGACCTGGAGGAAGCACATCAGGTGGTGTTCTACAGCTTCAAGCTGGGGGCTGATGATGGGGGTGGTGGGTGGAAGGCAGAGCAAGAGCAGCACTGCCTGCCTGCACTCCATTACCTCCTTGCAAATGAGAACTCATCAAGACTGCCTGGATACCTTAAAACTTTCTTACGCAACGCTGAACCCTATTACTTATTCTAACACAAGTACCTGTGAAATTGCATTAGGGCTCAGAACAATGATTTTATGCGATGAATTGATTTTCAAGAGACTAAATGCATGGAATAGAGTGTGCTCAGTTAAAGAAAAAAAAAAAGGAGAGAGGAGGTAGGAATACTCCATCTTTGATCATCCAAATGCTGGACAGCAGCAATTAAATAGAGAGGGAAGACCAAGTACACAAGACTCATAAATTAATGGACCCAAGAATTAAAAAAGCTGTGAACATGACCTTTCCTGTATTTAAAACCATTTTCTATATAAACTATATTAAAAGCTTTGAAGAAGCATTTATAAGAAGGATTTTGATGGTATTATTCAAGCCTGAAGTATTATATGTAAAACCTTATTATATATTACTCTACCCTTCAGTACATATAGGGCCAAGATCTTATGCTTCTGTCCAACACTCATCACAAATGTTTGCAGGACTCAGCCTAGATGGCTGGATATAGTATCATTAATATGCCCAGGAATAGTTCACCTTGTTGGCCCAGAAAATGGGTTGGTGATTTACTTTAGCCCTCCAGATTTTAAGTGGTGCTTTCTGTTGAATTTTACATTGATCTCATCATTACAGAACAATGTAACCATGAACTATTGCAGTCAGAGAAGAATATCTATGTGTGGCTGTTAATTTTCAGAGTGTCACTAGTAAACCTGGAAATGCCTTAACTCTCAATTTCTTCTCTCCTCACCTTTCTGACAAGGTATGCAATGAGACTCAAGAATTTCACAGGCTCTTCTGCCACAGAAGGGGACAAGAAATTAGCAGTTTTATGGTAAGTCCCATTGCGACAATGAGAGAAGCAGCTAAAATCTTAAGGAGGACTTTAAAAGTACTGAATTACTTAAGCAGCTTACAGAAGATCATTATTCTTGTTTTCCATTAAACTATTAAAGGATAACTAATGGATTTCTTCAGCAGCTGACTAAACATTTATTCTGCTAATTTATACTCTTATCAGGATGAGATTTTAATGCTTTTGACCACTTTTTTTTCTTTCTCCATTTGCTTATGTTTCAAAATCTAACCTTAGAACAGAAACTGGAAAATATAGGTCAGCATTTTTTTTTTTTTTACAGTTTATAGGTTCCATTAAGCAATGGAATTAACATAATCCTTTCCTAATTACTACAGCTACCGATGCTTATCACTTCTCTACTTGAGAATGTTTAAACTAAAGAAGGACCATGCTATGAAGTACTCCAGATCTCTGATGGAATATTTTAAGGTAATCTTTATTCTGTTTAATTTATTGATATGAAATGAAATTCATACCAGCACTGAGAGCTCTCACAAGTATAACTGTGTGACTTAGAAGTCCCACATTTAACCTCTCCTCTGGGAAATGCAGGCAGGATGGCTGCCAGGGAGTAGGGACAGAAGTGATTTGGGGGATTTTTGGATTAGTCACTTGATTCAAAAGACCATACTCAGTAATTCTACTAAAATAACATTGTGCTCAACACCATGTAATGTTTATGCAAGTTTCTGTAAAGGAGACTGGTTCTTTCAAGATTTCAATGTGCAAGTGATTATGAACCATAATAAAGCAATTATTTAGGCTTTAGTTAGTTAAATTGAGATTTTAAATTCAGTGAGATTTGCTGAAGCTTATTGCAGACTCGGAGATTTCTCCTTTTATTTCTGTGGAACTTCAAATTGTCTTATCTACATCTTGAAAGTTTGCCTTTACCTTGAATCGAGTGGAGATCAGCTGATTGCTATGGCTCGGTGATGTTTTCTGTTACTTTATGAAATGCTGTTTACACAGTGTAAGAGTGACAAGTCCTCACCATTCCTAAGTTAAGAGAGAAACAGAATCTTTCTTCAGCTCTGCCAAGGTTTTGACATTTATATTTTACTGGTTAATGCTATTTGAAGCATACATTAATTCTTGTACTTTATTACTACATATTATTCTGTATTTATGTAATTATACTGCGTTGTCAGCCCATCAGTCTTTTTTTGTTGTTTTTTTTCAGCCTCTTTGAATTTGTTCCAGGTTCTGACATGTTAGTACTGCAAAACAGTAAAACTTTTAACACTGCAGTTTTAATATTTTCATATAAATGGTGATAAAATCGTCCTTCTGCTGTAAAACTCCAGTACTACCATGCTAGCAACTACCACATAGTCCTGACATCCCTGGTCTCCTCTGTGTATATGTATCTCTCTAACTTCAGTATTGTTACTCCTGATCTTCTGCTTAAATTGAGGATCTCCTGAAGTCAGCAGGAGCACCTCTGTTGTACTCTCAGAGTTTACAGTCAGGGATTTGCACAACAAATTAAATTTGAACTAGACATATTCATAACCTTAGCATTTTCATGAAGTGTGTTCCATCCACTTCAGATTTTATCTGGGATGAATGTAGATTGTCACTTAAAAAAAAAAAAATTATTAGACAAATCATTTGATAAACTTTTTCTACAGAAATTAATGGTTTCTTAAAAAAAAAAGAAGGAGGCGGGAAGGATTCTCTCTTTCCC